ATACTTATTTTCTTATATATATGCAATTAAACTTTGAGTGATTTACTTACATGCCATTCAATGCTAAGGTGTATACCATCTAAAACAAATTTCTTAAATCTTTAGATATTTACATAATTTACACCTAGGTTGAAATATGATTTTCTTAAAAGCCTTAATGTATTTCCACATTCTTATCATTTAATTTTGTGCAAATATACTTGCTTAAGTTTTCATAATTAAATGTGTTGTCTTATTCCCATATACTTGTGCTATGTAATTGTAATTCTTTCTAAATGTCATCAGAGGCAACAAGTACACACTAACTCTCTCTCTTTTATTGCATTTTACTGCATGTTTTCTGTTATACATGCAATATTCTTATCCTGCTACTATTTATTGTATTTCTGGCATATGAAATGAAACCCTAGGATAGCCAACATAGGACATATATTTAAGATGGATCCCTATAACACATGACCAACATACACCTTTGAAAAGAAATGAAATAACTTAAAAAAATTTCAAAAACTTAGGCAAAGTCTTCCCCAGAATATTGTGAATCAAATCAGAAGACTCTTCCACCCTCACTACTTCGATCGATTTTGGCCTTTTGGCCAATCTCTTCCTCGACAGCTCACCCTCGAGCTGGCATGATCTAATCCCGAGGGCGGCTAGCTTTCTAGCTTTATCCATAAAGGAACAACGAACAACGAAGAAAAGTATAGAATAAGAGCAAACTCGAGATGATGATGTTGCCTCTCTAGCGCCCTATATATAAGAGTCATGTGCATGAAAATCCAAGGAGCCCATTTATGGTATTAAATAATGTTTATTATAAGATTCATTTTATTGAATCTAAAAATTTCCTTGTCCTTGTCGCAACTGTCATTTGCCAAGGAGCAAGAAATTTGGAGAAATTAACATGCACACCCAAAAATTGTCTGCACGAATCTCAAAGCAGCTGGACTGACCAAATCAAAAGCTAATGTTTGGTTGGAGAACCCATTGTCGACCGGATGGCCTAAGGTCGACCGAATCTTGGCCAATCGATAATGGACAAAAATGTATGACAAAAAATATGAAGGCCTATAATCCTCTAACCAATTAGATGGAGCCTGACCTCTTAATCGGTCGACCATTCCCAATTAGTCGCAACAAAAAGACGAACTGACCATCTATGATCGACCATCTTCTTAGTTAATCAACCAGTCACTTAGACCGACCGCCAAGAATTAATCGACCGGCCATCTAGAGCTGACCGCTTGCAACGTCCACACCTTAACCACTATCAAAAACACGAAGGTCATCCGAAATCTAAAAGGAATGATGGACTGACGACATCTCAACTGAATAAAGGAGAAATCTATCAGGCGGAGAATCTAGAAACAGTGAAGGATTTTAAAAGCGGTTACCAAATATGAAAATACCAAAATATCCTACAACCCTCTCATTAAAGTAGGGGCAGAAATGTAATTTCTATTGTTAGAAGCCCTCTATTTTCTTTACATAGAGGGTCCAACACTTGTAACAAAACTTTTTAGCTCTCAAAGATAGACCCTTACTTCAGAGGAAGCTTATCCCTCCTTCCCATTACTGTAATCTCTCTTTTGATACATAAAATGGGCTTCAAAGCCCGAGAATACCCCATTTCACCTCAATGGGGCAAGTCTGTATTTGAGTTTCCTCACTCTCTCCTATCTTGTATCCACCGATCCGATCCTTAGGTAAGACTCACATAATCAACAATGGCATAACAACGCCGCAATGGGCATAGCTACGTTGAGATGCTTTGGAGTCTTCGCTTCCTTCCCAAGTGCACAAAATATTTATGATACTACTATGCAAGGTTACACTGCCAAGGCAAATGGTTTGGTTTCGGTTCTTAAGCCTTTGATTCTAGGGATGAATGATTACTAACTCACGTGTGCCATTCTTGATAGGTTTCTCGTGAAGCAGGGTCGAGGAGGAGGATTACAAAAAAGGCTTTCTCTTGCGAGAGAAAGGGTTCTAGCCAAGTTCTGTAAGTTTCTATTAATTGTAGAGAGAATATCCGAGTGAGTATTTCTGTGCATTTCTGGTTCTTTACAGTTAAAATTTATTGGTGCACAACTCTGTGATTTTTTTCCATTATTTGGTTATTCCATGTAAGTCTTGGTTTGTTTTTTTCTGGGATTAATTTTTTTGTGCTTATGTTAAAAAATTTGTTTTGAATTTCTTCAATTGTTATTATCCTATTATCTGGCGTAGCTTTGATTTCTAACTGATTGAACGCCTAAGTGTATATTTTTCAACCAACAAGTGGGTATTA